TATTGCTTTTACAAACTTATAAAGCATATTATTGCCATGGCATATAACGCACAATGCTTCTCCAATCCAGTTCTATGAATCTGAGTCTTTCATAATACAAACACTGATTTACTGTCTCTCTCCTCCTCTCCCTGTATTTTCTCTACTCTTCTCGTGATGAAGGCTTGATTATAAACCTAAAAGTATCCGAAATCACACACACTATACCTCTTCTCTCCCGTCTCTCTCCTCTTCTGGGCCTTTCTCTCTCTCTCTCTCTCTCTCCCTCTCTCTCTCCTTTTCTGTCTGTCTCTCACATGATGGATCCAGTCCGCGCTGCGCTGCCGTTAGCATCCTCCGCCTGGTTAATGCTAGCTACTCGTCATTTAAAGTTAACGTCTTCTTCTGTACCCTCATTCTCCTGATCACAGGTCTGTTTAAAGAAGGTGTGTATGGAAAATGCCTCAATAAAGATGCCTCCTCTCCTCTTTCTCTCGCGTTTGCTAAATCCACTTGTCCACTCATTTTTGATCTATGACAGATATAACGTTACACTGAAGTCCGCTCAGTTTAGTGCGGGTTATTACAAAACTGACGTTTCCGCACTTGACCAATTACAGCATTCTGTTTAGTTAAAGAAAGAAAGGCAATTTAAATATAATACTAATATTAATATTTGATCGCGATTTTTTTGCTCAGAGGAAATACAGTTGTCTGAGCAATATAGTTTTTGAAGAGAGGGAGGCGCGGCAGGCGCCTATAATAAGGCTAAACATTATTAAATACCCACGAGACACTTGTGACTTTATATCACATTTGCATTATTTTAAAAAAATGTTTCTTTCCTGTTAAAAATAAATATATTTCCAATCTGATATGTAATGGGGAGAAATAAAAGTAGCACGAGTTCAGCTGATGGTGGATTCGAACCGATGTTATGATTAATCGCGTCAAAAGATGAAGCCGTGTGCCTTACAAGGTGCGCCACTGCGGCTGTGTTAGTTCACAGCTCTTTACTCATCTTGTCTCTATCAATGAGGCATCGATGGGCGTAAACCCCGAATAGCTTAGTCCAACTAGATGCGCTATTTGCAATTAGCCTAAAAAGACACTCCGAAATTGTCTTTTTTTCTCCCCCCTCGCAGGGGCCCCTAGTGCGCACGGGCCCCTGGGCCTGTGCCCATAAGGCCCATTGGTTAATCCGGCCCTGGCCAGACGTATTTCAACCAATTATTTCAAATTTGTCTAGTGTACAACGGTAGTTTTGGCCAACAGATGGCACTGTTTCTCTTCACAGGAGATTGAAAGGTCAAATTGAAACGTACATTCCTTTCAAAACGTTACTAATGGTTGTAACTTGTAACTGCAAAATAATTACGTTTTTATACGTCCTAGTTTTGAATCTGACATGACAAAGAGACTTGTATTTCGATTATTGTTGTAAATGGACATGAACGAGCCTCCTCTGAATCTGAGGCAGTGGATGTTAGTCATAGTGTGTAGCTGTTATTGTGAAGATCTCCAGTGAGGCCTGCAGGTTTGTGGCTCCTGTCAACACTCTGATGTTTCTCATGAGTGTTCAGCGCATCCAGCCAAAGGAGCTGCAGTCATCAGACCATATGAATCATGTCAAGTTACATGATGGGAATCAAGCTCCTGCTGAGTATTAATTCCTTTCAGAGCAGAACGAGGTTGACTGTCAGCCATATGTGAAAATAAAGGGAAATACAGCTAAACAAGAAGATTTATTGTTATCTGTAGAATTTGGACAGAATGAATGCTGTGTTTTTAATGTAACTTAGACGTAATGGCAGTAAATGTTTGATTTTTGAAAGCATGTCAAACAATTTACAGACAAATCATCACCAAGGACCATGATTCAGCTAAAAAAAATTTATATTTTACTAGAAAATTGTCACATATTTTTGCTGGCTTGTGGAATATCCTTTTAAAGCTATTGCTTTTTTCACTGCCAGATCTTGAGCTCAAGATCAAACAATTCTAAAACTGAATACTTTATCATTCCTTTTCTACATATACACTCAATGGCTATAATATTGATCTTATTTTCCTATAATTAAAGGGAAGACATGGGATTATTTAAAAATTTTCTTGAAAGCAAAAGACACATTCACACAAGCACCAAGAGTCCAACCCATGAACATAAAATTTTTCACTTTAATATTTTCTTACTCTTCAGAACTACTGTGTATTACCATATTCCACAAAGGAAAAGACAAATATATATTATATCAAATGTCATGCCTGAGCATCCTGTACCAGTGGTGGACACCCTGTCATTTTATATTCAAGTGCCTACCAGGAACCCAAGGCTAAATAAATTAGAGGACTGTAGTGCTGCCCTGCAGTCACAACAAGTCAGATTTTCATTTTTAAAGATGCGGCCAATTTATATCATCCACAAATTAAAACTGAGCATAATGTATACCACAATTACTCTATTAAGCTTGTTCTAATCTTGCACATGCAGTCATCTACTAAAATATTTAATACTTGATTAATAAATACCCAAAATTAACATTCAAAGTTCTTTAAGTGCCTTAAAAATTAATTAATTTTGCATGTAGAATAATCATGCATTGATGCAGTCCCACTTTTAGTGCCTCTTTTTATATCATAGTTCTTTTCACTCGCTTACAAGCGTTTGTCCAACCTGTTTCAAAACTCTACACACAATTAGCACAGCGTCTTTTGTGGCCGTACCATTCACACTTTAATGTCGTTTTCACCCAATATGCAGTCAGTGAACATATTTCCCCAGTGCTTACATTTTCTGAACAGACAAACTATAGCTCCCAACAAAATGATGGATTGTTTTTGATGTATTTACGAATGTTGATCCCACACTCTGCTTCTGCAATTATATAATTTCAAAAATAATATCAATATCATAAATATATCTCAGCTGATAATAAACAAACAATTGAATAATTGATACACAGCTCATTTATGTTGGAGAAACTGGGCCAACCTCTGGCTTAGACTCTGTGGCAGAGATTACACTTACATTTACACTTATACAGTGAAAGGAGGACTTTGAGGAGTGATGTTGATGAAAACATGTGCCCTAACCCTGAAGATGGCAGAGATTAGAAATAGTAATTTTGTGCTTTTTTTTATATCCCCCCATTTTTATCTGGGCTTTTTCCTGTTGTTTTGTTTTGTTTAAAATGCTCTTGTGTGTTTCATGGATATTTTGTTTACTGTAAGCAATGCTGTAAAACATTTTCTGTTCTATCAGTGTGTTCCCATTCTACCTCTTGAAGTCAACAGTAAAGGAAAAAAGTCAGATCTGAGTCATTCTAAGTCAGATTTTCAGTGTTTTGCTAAAGTTAGTGTGGGCAGAGAAAGATGTGTTTTATTTAAAAGAGTTAGTATATAATTAACAATATGTTGTTTTGAGAAGAAATTAACAATTTGTTCAACTGTGTTTTGTAATGTGTGTGCATTTATATATATAGCGCATTTATTATAGATGGCCATACACTCAAAGCGCTTCACAATCATGAGGAGGGTCTCTCCACACCACCACCAGTGTACAGGATCCACTTGGATGATGTGATGGCAGCCAAAGGACAATGACGCCAGTGCGCTCAACACACACCAGCTATAGGTGGAGTGGAGAGACAGTGAGCCAATTTGGTGGAGAGGGATGATTGAGAAGCTATTATGGGTAAAGGTCTATTGAGGGAATTTTGCAAGGATACTATTTTGCAGTTTTGTAGATGTAAGTCTGTGTTAAGAGTTTAGAAAAAGTATCTGAATGTATGGGTAAGCGCTTGTAAGCGATTGATAAAAAGTGTAAGAACATAAACACTTAAAAAGAGTCAAAACATGGGTTTTTGCAGTGATGTCAGGAAGGAACATTTTTTAGGGTTTTCTCTAGTGTGAATAACTGTAAAAGCCAACTGAATATTTTGTAGAAAAGTTCCTTGCTTTAAAAAAAATGTTCATTGGCATATACAGTTAAATCAGAATTATTTGTCCCCCTTTGAATTTATATATATATATATATATATATATATCCCAAATTATGTTTAACAGAGCAAGGGAGTTTTCACAGTGTGTCTAATAATATTTTTTCTTCTGAAGAAAGTCTTATTTGTTTTATTTCATCTAGAGTAAAAGCAGTTTTAAATTAAAAAAAAAAAAAACTATTTTTAGGTCAAGTTATTAGCCCCTTTAAAACTATATATTTTATTTTCGATAGTCTACAGAATAAACCATTGTTATACAATGACTTGCCTAATTACCCTAACCTGTCTATTTAACCTAATTAACCTAGTTAAGCCTTTAAATGTCACTTTAGCTGTATAGAAGTGTCTTGAGAAATATCTAGTAAAATATTATTTACTGTCATCATGGCAAAGATAAAATAAATCAGTTATTAGAAATGAGTTATTAAAACTATTATGTTTAGAAATGTGTTGAAAAATTCTTTTCTCCATTAAACAGAAATTGGGGGAAAAATAAACGGGGTGGCTAATAATTCAGGGGGGCTAATAATTCTGATGTTAACTGTATACTGTATATAAAACCAGTAGCATCAATAGAAGTTTATCATTCCAAAAAAAGTAAAACTATAATAAATTAATGGTGCAAAACAAGTTCTTGACATTGTTCAAATGCTCTTCACTCTAAAAGAAAAAATGATAATTTTACAAAATTATTTTTACAAAATTTTGTTAACCAAAATTAACTGTAAACCAAAATGGCTCTTCAATGGCATTACTGTGAAAAAAGCCTTTTATAAAGGAGCTTTTTAAAGGGATAGTTCAACTAAAAATCAATATTCTATCATCATTTAATCATCCTCCAGTTCTTCCAAACCAGTTTGAGTTTCTTTGATAATATATTTATTTTGTATGGAGCCTTTAAAAGTTGCTTTTCAAAGAGCTTTACAAAAAAGCAGCAAAACAAAGAACAAATATATATATATATATATATATATATATATATATATATATATATATATATATATATATATATTTTTTTTTTTTTTCTTCTTCCAATATTACAATAATAACATAATTCATGAACATTTAGAAACACTTGAGTACAAGTAAATGGTGACAAAATGTAAATTTTGGGGTGAAATATCCCTTTAAGAGTGCAAAGGTTCTTTATGGAACCACAGATTTCGATAAAGAAGCTTTATTTTCAATAGCGTACCTCAGGTTTTAATCCCTCGTTGATCTGAACCTGTGGGAAACCAGTAGCTTTGGTAAATTTCACAACTTTGAATTAAAGGCTGAGATTTTAGGGTGGCAGTGAAGGCCCTCCATTGTTCTCAATGACTGTTCCCAGGGCAGGGTGGCGGTCGTGAAGGTGGGGGTCTGCGGGGGCCTGGGGGAGCCCGGGTTGGTGGAGGTCCTGGGGGTGAGCGGTTAATGGAGGGTCCACCGGATGGTGGCCTTTTGGGCGGAGGTCGCATGAGAGGCTGATGGTCTGGAGGGGGCGGTGGAGGTGGAAGGTGGCTGTGTGCTGGTGACCTTGGCTCCTCTGCTTTCACCCGGGTAAAGTTGATGCATCTCCCCTGTGGAAAACAGGACAGATGGTGGGATCATGGTCAGTTCAACGCTAAAACCATATCAGATATTTGAAATATTGCATGAATAAGTGTCAATCTTTCAATACTAAAAACTGAAGTTGCTGCAACTGGGAAAACTAACATGCACTCTCAGATAAAAAAGAAACACAATCTACTGTACCTACAATGCCCCTTAACAATACATGTAACTAACAAATAAGTAAATGGTGCATATTAGTATTTAAATACTACAAAAGTTTTCCTTTCAAGCATCAGTGTAGACCCATTAGGTACAAGGCAAGGCGAGTTTATTTATATACCACATTGTATACACAGTGGAGAGTCAAAGTGCTTTACATAAACAGGAATAAAAGAGACACGCATAAGAAAATAAAAGAAAAAATGATTAAAAAGAGACAAAAGCAGATTAAATGTGTTGAAAACAGGTTATAAAAGAATGAAAAAAAAGAGAAAAACATAATAGTGTGATCTAGCGGACGTAGCACAGTGCTCATTCAGTAAAGGCACAGCTAAACAGATGTGTTTTCAGTCTTGATTTGAATGTGCCTAATGTTGGAGCGCATCTGATCATTTCTGGAAACTGATTCCAGCAGTGAGGGGCATAGTTGCTGAAGGCCGATTCACCCTGTTTTGACTGAACTCTTGGAATTTCTAGTTTATATGATCCTAAAGACGTGAGTGATCTGTTAGGTTTTTATTTAGTGAGCATATCTGTAATGTGCTGAGGTTCTAGGTCATTTAGTGATTTATAGACCAGTAATAATACTTTAAAATCTATTCTGAATGTAACTGAGAGCCAGTGTAAAAACCCAAGGATAGGTGTGATGTGCTCTGATTTCCTTGTTCTGGTCAGAATCCTGGCCGCAGTGTTCTGGATGAGCTACAACTGTCTGACTGTCTTTTTGGGCAGGCCAGTGAGGAGCCTGTTACAGTAATCCACCCTGCTGCTGATAAAAGCATGAACAAGAGTCTCTAAATCCTCACTGGAAACAAAGCATCTAATGTTTGTAAAGGTACCACCAGAGTGACAGCTTTGTACCTTTATTTCTGAGAGTGTAGTGGTTTCTCCTACATAATCAATGACTTGCACTTTTTTGTTTAAAAATGCACAAAAGTTTACATTTGGCATCCACACTTTAAAATAAAGCAATTTTGAAATGCTGAAGACTCTTTTATAGTTGGAAAACTTTGGGATTGTATTTCAGTACAACGCGGACTTATGAATATGAGGATTGGCTGCATCAATTGTCAAGCCCTAACACTGAACAGTTTTTTATTTTTGCCACAGTTGTTGTTTTTTTTATTATGATAATACATAAATAAAGATAAACCCATTATAGTTTCCCATGCACATTTATTCAATTAGCACTTTTATCCAAGGCAACTGACAAGTGAGGATAAAAGAACTTCAAATAATTAGAAAGCAGCAGTATATGAATGTTATGACAAGTCTAAGTTAGGAGAGGAGAGAGTGTCTCCTACAAGTGGTTTGTGAAGCCCACTCACCTGTGTGGAGCACACTCAGAATTGCACAATGTTTTCCAAGGTGTATGGAATGCTTTTAAGAAGGAGTAGTGTGTCTTCTAAAGGCTGATTTATACTTTTGCATCAAGTGCATGCGTATAGTCTGGTGCAGTCGCATGGCCCTCGTCGTGGCTGACGATGACCTCTCAAAATATGTAACTACATGTTAAAACGACGCCTAGCGCAAGCTCTGTGATTGGTTGGATTGGTAGCTGTGACGAGTGTGGGCGGTGCTGAGAGCCGCAAGCCTTATGAAGTGATTGTTTACAAGTGTATAGTCCCGTAAAGGAGCTCCAGATGGACATTTGTTTTGTGTTTACCTTATGATTAAAGTTGTTGCACATCCATTGGTTACCGCCTCTCAATGAGTGAGTTTGAGCTACTTGTGCATTAAGGTAGCATTCAGAAAAAACATAACACCTACGAAGTAACTCGACACAGAGGAACATAAAAACTACTGCCAGCAAGCATTTTGGAAGTGTTATTGCAGAGCTACACAAACAAAACACAGAAGTATACATGCACGACTACGTACAAGGCATGTGCCATGGGTCACGCCAATCACTCGATGCAGAAGTATCAATCGGCCTTAAGGGTGGTTTGTAAAGCCTACTCACCTGTGTGAAGGACACTCAGAATTGCACAATGTTTTTAAAGATGTATGGAATCTTATTAAGTGTCTGGTGGATATGGAGAGGAGAAGTGGGTCTTATAAGGGTGGTTTGTCAAGCCCACTCACCTGTGTGAGGCATACATAGAATTGCATGATGTTTTCTCAGAACCAAGGAGTGTTGATAAGAAAGTGTCTGGTTCATAAAGAGAGCGGAGAGAGTGTTTCGAATGATCTCTTACTGTGTGACCAAATCAAGTTTCTGTCTTATAATGCTACAATCTGTGATCGCACCGGAGCATTCTGCCCTTATTATAGTTTCTATCTTGTGACATCACACTTAGTTTTTGGTTTGTTTAGATATATTTGATTTGTGATATGTTCATATTTCAGTCAAACTTCACTACAGTGGGGCTATAACTGGATAAAACAAAACTCAAATACTTCATATCTATTGTATGATTGCTTTGTATTTTCAACCCCAGAGGTGTCAAGTTCACTGCAAAATGCGTAGGATTGAAAAACAGAAGCTCAAGCAGCGGTGCAGCTGATCCTGGGCTGCGTTCTTTTGCTTGCTTTGGCTGGAAATGCCCAGGAGACGAACCCACAGCACTTCAGACATCCAGAAACTCAGCTGTCAACTGCAATTCTGTCCCTAAAATCATGGGGGTGGGGTTGAAGAGTCGCAGCGCCGCGCTTAAGGAAGAATAGCTATTTGTGAAACGGTGTTGAAACAAGAGGCCGGTCTCTGAGAAAACGTACATTCTTCAAGATGAAGCGATTCATTGTTGTCAGTAAGGCTGATCGTTCAGGAGGAATTGCCTCGAGTTCAAACTTTGAGACCGACTGAGCGAAGCCATTCAAAGCTCACTTTACGCTTCATTAAGTGGCAAAAATGAAACTCACTACAAGGATTCACTACAACACCCACTTTTGTCAGGGCTTAATAAAAGTGATGTATTCATATGCAAGTGCTTGAATGGAGGTAAAGCCAGTTAAGTTGTCTACATTTTGAAATCCAAGTGATAAGCAAATCCAACAGCTTGAATCTGAAGCATTTTTTTTATAGAGCAAACATTCAAGTTTAAAAGAAGCATTATTAAGTACTAATATCATTAAGATGTTTGGATATTCAAGAAAAACAAAAATGTAAATAAAATGTAAATAGCCGATAAAACTCAAAGTTATTTGTTATAATAAAAATCATTCTAATTTGGTTTTTAAAATGTCTTTTAAAAGTGTCTTGTACTCACTGAATACAGCTTTGGAAAAATAACAGACCCTTTTCAGTTTATCTGGATGTGCAATTGATAGACAGACAACACATTTTTATAAACTTTAAATTAGTTATTAACCCTTATTATTAAATCACAACAAATGGTGTTGGAAATTTAGAAATGTTATAAATTTAATAATGATAAATATAGTATACTTTAATAATAATACAAATAATCAAATATTATAAAAAACCATGACAGCCAGCACCACCACAGCAATTGTTTCTATCACCTTCAACAACCGCAACAAAAAAACGAAGCATGATCTAATAAGTGCCCTGCTCTGATCTAAATGGCTTTCAGTGGAGTGTAAAGGAGAGTGGTTAAGGGGAGCGGGTGTCTGGCATGTTGTCTGAGCTCCTATCACACAAACAGAAGGACAGTTTAAAGGCCACAAGCTCAATTACCACATGCAGGAGAGATTTCCACCCTTTGTTCAAGGGTTGATGGTAGGATAGGATATGCCTATTTGTGTTTTCAATAAGGGTGGTCTCAAATCATAAATATGAAACAGATGGACAAAGAGGGAATGTAAGCAGAGTTCGTTTGCTATAAATAAATCTGATATATGGAAATATATGCAAATGACATCAAAATACAAGTTCATATTTGGATTTCACATATAAAAATGTCTTATATACAATATATGTCAAAATATTACAAAAATGTCCATTTGCATGAAGTTGCAATCAGAATAATTAGCCCCCTGAATTTTTATCCTCCCTGTTTATGTTTTTTCCCCCAATTTCTGTTTAACGGTGAGACGATTTTTTCAACACATTTCTAAACATAATAGTTTTAATTACTCATTTCAAATAACTATTTTTTTTTTTTTGCCATGATGACAGTAAATAATATTTGACTAGATATTTTTCAAGACACTTCTATACAGCTTAAAGTGACATTTAAAGGCTTAACTAGGTTAAGTAGTTTAACTAGGCAGGTTAGGGTAGTTAGGCAAGTTATTGTATAACGATGGTTTGTTCAGTAGACTATCAAAGACAAATATAGCTTAGAGGAGCTAATAATTTTGACCGTAAATGGTGTTTAAAAAAATAAAAACTGATTTTAGTCTAGCTGAAATAAAACAAATAAGACTTTCTCTAGAAGAAAAAGTTTATCAGACATACTGTGAAAAATTCCTTGCTCTGTTAAACATCATTTGGGAAATATTTAAAGAAGAATAAAAAAAATCAAAGGGGTGTTAATAATTCTGTAGGAAGCTGTATACGTGATGTTTAACAGACCAAGGAATTTCACAGTATTTCCTGTATATTTTATTCTTCTAGAGAAAGTCATATTTCTTTTTGTTTGGCTAGAAAAAAGCAGTATTAAATTAGTTTGATAAATGTTATTACCCCCTTAAGAAGTGTCTACAAAACAAACAACTTTTATCCAATAACTTGCCTAATTATCCTAACTTGCCTAGATAAAAAATAATAACCTGGTTAAGCCTTTGAGCAGGATAATAGTATCTTCATAAAATAACTAGTAAATAACATATATAATATTTAATTATACATCACTTTAATTATATTTAGTAAATAATTATGTTCTGTCATTATGGCAAAGAC